CATAGTAAGTACTCAATAAACATCGGTAGGATGAATGCCCGAATGTCATGTTATTGCCCCTGGAGAGCTCTGACATCGTATCAGGGTCAGATGATAGCAGGCACGACCCAACGACCTACTACCAAGTTGCTTCCTAAAGCGCCACTTTAAAGAATATCTGAGGTAGAGTCAATGGTCTGGCAACCCTGTCTCACTTTCTACAACATCAGTTGCTATTTCCTCCTATGTTCCGCCCACAAACCTAGCAACCGCCTTCAGTGCCTCTCTTTCTCACACTCCGCGTGCAAACCACCAGGAAATCTTAGTGCCTCCAAATCCTCTCCCTTCAAGAGGACATCCACAATCAGACCACCTCTGTTCACCTCCACCACCACCCCAGCTCTCAGGCGGACGACATCAACAGCTTCTGGTTTTCTGCTGTCACTCTTGACCTCTCCCTACAACTCAGCAGCCAGAGCAATCCTCTGAAAACGGATGTTCCATCTTGTCCCTACTCTGTTCATAATGGACAGCTTTCAGCTCCCTCAGGGAAAAAGCCGGGTCCTCACGGCAACTTACAGCGGTCCCTTCAGGTGGCGACAAGGTCCTCTGTCACTTGTCGTCATGCCTCACACCTGCTCTCCTCCCTGACCCGCAGTTCTCCCTGTCACTCAGCTCCAGCTCCTCTAGCCTCCCTGTTGGATCTTTCTTGGTTTTGTCATCACGCCCCATTCACAGTTACGGCTTGTCTCCCCCACCAGAATGAACTGCAGGAGGAGAAGGACTTTTTTTAAGTAATCTCTACGCCCCAAGCAAGGCTTGAACTCACGACGCCAAGATCAAGAGTCACACGCCCCACCAACTGAGCCAGCCAGCCCCAAGGGGGGAAGGATTTTTATGTATTTGATTCACTGATGTATCTTCAGGGTCCAGAACAATGGTGCTCGGCACACAAGGGTATCAGTAAATATTTCTTGAATAAATAAACGAGAGACATTATTTTGGACTAGATGATGTTTCCAAAAGCAAAGGGATATGCGGAAGGTCTTACGGTAGCTCAGGAAATCAGGCACCTTTTCCTTATACTGGAATTTGTCTTTAAAAAAAAAATTAGCTTTCTCTTTTTAATCCCTTTTGTAATTGAGAATAATTGAATATAATTGGCTTATTAAGGTTGCACAATTGGGCATAGAAGAGAAACCTGCCTTTTGGGAATGCAACAGTATTAAGAAAATTAAATAGGTGAAGACTGTAAAGAAATATCTTGTTTGTGTTGTGGGATCTGTTGGCGTAAACATACACATGCGGACTGTGGGAACACCACTTTGATGATTCCTGCTTTTGATGGTAACCCCCCCTTTTGTTCTGCACTGCTTTCCCTTAGAATGTGTTTCCTCTCTATGCACACAGCACTGTACACACACCCAAGAAAAAATGGTCATTCAGGTGTGTGTGAAGTCCTGCATACCCCAAAGATTCATTTAAAAAATACGGTCATGTTATAAATCTTGGCTGACAATCTAGTATTTGCCTAGTCGGAATGACCTCTGCACCATAACTGGGGGCAGGGAGAGGAGGGAAGAGAGGGAGAGGGAGGGAGAGGGAGAGAAGAGAGAGGGAGGAGGGGAGGGGAAGGAGGGCGAGCTGGAGTGGGAGGGGCAGGCTTTATACAATTTGCTTCAGCAGATTACAGCTTCTCATGAATATTCAGCCAATATGAATAGTGAATGAATATTCAACATCCAATTGTTTGAGGCAATTGGGGTGTGTTTGAAGTATTAAAACATGGCCATGTCATATGGCACTGCACTGGCCATCTTCTATTTGGGAGATTTGGATGGTGTTATGTGTTTGAATGAATTCCTAATTCAAAGGGGACACATCAGCCCTGAGTTTCCTTGGGAAGGTGTCTGCTCCTGTTTCCTCCTGACCCACACCATTCCTTGCTCTGGTCAGTCCTCCTCCACGGCCCCCACCCACCTTTAGTCTGGGCCCCCTGGCTCTCACACTTCCTCCAAAGTCACCTTCTTTTTACCTTCTTCTTTCCCTCAGGAGACAAAGACTCCCCTCAGTCAAGCCTTCCCCGTCTCCTCACACCTCCCTCCCGGACTCATCCTTGATTCCCTGCTGGATTTGCCATGTACCACAGAAAGGAACAACATCAGTTTCCCGGGAATTTGGTGGTTTTCTTGACCAAGCTTCAAATTTGTGATAAGAGGGGCACCTGGGTGGCTCAGTGGGTTAAGCCTCTGCCTTCGGCTCAGGTCATGATCTCAGGGTCCTGGGATCGAGCCCTGCATCGGGCTCTCTGCTCAGCAGTGAGCCTGCTTCCTCCTCTCTCTGCCTGCCTCTCTGCCTACTTGTGATCTCTCTCTCTGTCAAATAAATAAAATCTTTAAAAAAAAATTTGTGGTAAGAAATATCCGGAAATAGCAACAAAGCCCAGAAGCCTGCAGGAGAAGTCACCGCGGGAAGACAGGATACTAAGGCAATGTAGCAGGCACAGACGTCTCCAAGGGCTTGGCAGGTATCCACTCATTTACTCCTCAAACAACCTTATACAGGAGGAACTATTATCATCACTCAATTTTATGCAGGAGGACAATGAAGATGGGACTAAGGGCTGGCGTTAGAGATTCTAATCGGGGCATTCTGGCTCCAGAAGGAATATCAAAGACTTGCCCCCCCACCAGCTGGGGGCCAAGAGCTGAGATTCCCTGGGTGTCTGCATTGTGTTCTTATCCACCTGAATCTAGCAGCTAACCCCCCAGTTATCTCTGCTTTGGGTGGGGGATACTCCCCTGTTCGGCATGGAATAGGTTAAGACAGGTCTTCATTACCGATTTTGTTCCTTGTCCATGGATGTTAAAATGGTATCTGCTTTCCCAGGGCTCACCCTAGAAAATGACAGCAGGTCATAGAAAAAACAGGTCCATCGGTCTGTTAGTCTAGGCTCCAGGTGTAAGGAGAAAGCCTGGAAATGTCAGTGGAATTGGATGGATGGAATGGAGGAAGAATGGGGGTTTTCAGTTCCAAGTGAATGTTCGGCATGGAGAATTCCACATGAAGACTCTGTGGTGACCCCTGTGCCCCGCTTAGAGCCAGTGGAGGAGGTCCCTGCTTTATTCAGAAGGGAGGTGCTAACCTTGCCAGCATTGTTTCCTGTGTGTCTTGGTTTCTATAGGGTTTGGTTAGAAAAGTCCCCAGAGATTTGCCCCATCCATCCATCCTCACTCCTCTCAGCCTCCAGCTCTGCCTCCATAATCTCTTGGATGAATAAGGCCTTCTTGGGCGGGGGGGGGTCCTCAGGGTGATTGCAACAATGCAAGATCTAAATCTGTCAAATGCAGATACTTGCTGTCCCAGAAACAACATGAGTCCAGATATAGGGTTCCAGCTGAGGCTGGGGCTTGAGCATGTAATCCGTTCTTCTTCGAACTCCCAGGAGCCATCTAATAGGACATCCCAGGGGATCTTGGCCTCTCTTGGCCTGTGATACTTGGCCTTGGCCCCCACTCCTCTCTACCCAACCTTGAGTTTTCTCTTGACCCCTTTGGCTCCAATTACATTGTCTAGAGGAGCCAGGAACCAGAGGAGGTTGGCATTTCCCTAACTAGCCATCCCAGTCCTGGGCACCCAGCAGAGTAGGTTCTCCTTAAATCTGCACAGCTCTCTGTGAAAAGCATCTTCCCCTGCTCTGGGATTTTGAAAAACTGTTTCTTGGGGCCTGCTCAGCAGAATTCCCTGGCCCACACCTTGCCTGGGAAACACTCAGACAAGAAGCAAGAAACCACATGCGGGTAGGGTCTACGCTGTACAAGAGGACACAGCGAAGTGGATGGATACATCCTCTTTCTTCCTGGAGTCAACACTGGATTATTATTTCACTGGGTGAAGAGTCCAGGGCTTTGGCTTTTCGCCTTCTGGACTGTTTGTGCTTATTAGCATCCTTGCCAGAGGGGGAAACCCAGGCAGGAGGCAACACTCACAGGATCCTAGTGACTAACAGCTCTACAGAAGAAAGGAAAGCCTAAGGTTAATGCTTAGGAGGTGGCGGAAAAAGTTACCCACAGGGTTTCCATTCTTCCCGCTTTTTATCAGTTCCTATGACCAAGAGTCACCAAGAGCTGGCTCTATTCCTTCACTATGACCTTCACCTAGGACTTCACCTTCACCCATGACCAAAGTGTTGCCTCCCACTCTGGCCAGAACCCCTTGGAGGGGCTTGTGGAGCCTGGTTGGGTGAATCAATGCTTACCTTAGTGGTACAGCCGGCACAGAGACACTGGGACACGCAGCCACGAGCCCAGTGGAATACATGGAAAATTCCAAGGGGAGTCGGGGCCGGGGGTTCTTGGTGGAACCTTGGCAGAGGAAGCATCAGAGACAGAGATAGGAGACTCTGGGCAGTGATAAAATAAATGGTTTTAATGGGAGGCTTTCAGAGAGGGTGACGCTTTCCTGTGCTATCAAGCAGCCAGTTTTCCTGCCTTGCGGTGTCTCGGTGGTGGGCTGGCAGAACCCCCGGACCCCACCGGAAGCTAGGATATTAGTCTGACGCCATGTTCAGTCCCTCCAGGATCCAGAGCTGTGTCTCCACAACAGGAGATTGGAGTCAGCTGGCAGTCAGTCCCACACAAACATCCTGGTGTCTGTCCAGGCCTGAGGGAAAGGGGCAGGAGCTTTCACTTCTGACTGGGGCTATTCCTCCATGGGGGCATTGGGTGACAGGGGACCAATCACTTGGAAAATTCAACTCCGACCTTTACAAAGAGAACTAATAGACACTTCAGTATTATATACAGGGCTGGGGGTGGGGAGGGAGCGGAGGGGAAATTGCACTTAATTACAGTAGGTTATAGTTTACACCCATTGGAGAAATTTACTTCTTCAAAAGAAATATCAAGATCAGCTGGGATGGGGTGGGGGGGTGCGAGAGGTTGCTGATATTTACAGTGTGTTTGGCTCAGTTCAATAGCACGTGTCCTCCTCATTTCAGTAACAGATTCAAGTTTTTTTTTTTTTTTTTCGCATCGGTTTGTTCGATGAAAGAGCGCGACGTAGACACGACAGCTTTCTCTCTTCCTCCTCCGTGGTTTCTCACCTCTCACCCGTGGGCCGGATGGGAGTACCTGCCGTCTTGGGAGAGGCATGGCGACAATACTGCATAGAAGGGGAGGGAAGTTGCACTCTGGGCTGCGCCTCCCAGCGGGCTGTCCTTGTCCGAGGGGCCAGCAGGATGGCAGGTAGGCGGGGACCTCTCTTGAAGGTGCTTGTCAGGCCACTGGCCTTTTCCGTGACAGCTGCCCAGAGGGGGACGGTGTAGAAAACAGGGTCCTTGTTGCTGTGCACAAAATAAGTGATGGGTGGGCATCACCAGGCTTGGAGGGGGCACTGCAGAGAGAGGAAAGAGAGCTCAGCGGTGTGTATTCAGCAGGGACGCCACTCTTTTGGCTTCTCCAGGGGAGCTGAGACCCTGCTCGGCCCACTGCGGGCTGAGGACTCAGTGCCCGCTAGGTGCCCCAGCGTTGGTCCTGAAGCTCGCTCCCTTTAGGGAAACTCCCGAGCCAGGTTTCCCGGCCACTTCAGAAGGCAGCAGCAAACTGTTGCGGACCTTGAAATAGTTATAACTCGCTGACCTTTGTCCTCAAGTCAAGCTCCTATTTCAGGGAGTGTGTGGTTGCAACAGCAGCTGGACGGGAGCTCTTGCCTCTCGTGGAAGTAAGGGTCCTCTTCCTAACACCGCTATGGGCAGGGGTCCCCTAGACCACTGATCCCCACACTTTAACGGCCCTCTGAATGCTGGGGAGCCTGTGAAAAGGTGGATTCTGATCGAGTGGGCTTGAGGTGGGCCGAAGCACCCGCATTTCTAATCAGCTCCCAGATTGCCCCAGAGCTGCCGATCTACTTAAGCACATGAGAAAATCGCCACTTGCTCAAGCGACCCATCAGGGAAGGCATTTGGGAAGCTGCGAAGTGCTTTCTACAGGCTTGTTCCTATTAAGACAAGAACTCTGATGCCAGATTTCCAGGTGGGCGGGGAGGCGGGGCAGGAGACCCCAGAATGGATGGAGAAACCCTCCAAGAGGAGCCATGCAGCCCCTTCCTGGGGCAGCCTCTCCTTCCAGGATCTTGGACTTCATTCATTTCGGCTGTCATGGTACATCATTCCCATCCTTTTCTCTCCAGGAAGACCCTTCTTGCTTCCCTCTGTCTCTTCCTTCCCTTTCACTTGTTTTGGCATCTAAAGGGAAAGTCTTCTCTGTCTTTTGGCTTAATGGCTCCTTTTCTAAAGACTGTTCCTTTGGGGCACCTGGGTGGCTCAGTGGGTTGAGCCTCTGCCTTCAGCTCAGGTCATGATCTCAGGGTCCTCGGATCGAGCCCTGCATCGGGCTCTCTGCTCAGCAGGGAGCCTGCTTCCCCCTCTCTCTCTGCCTGCCTCTCTGCCTATTTGTGATCTCTCTCTCTCTCTCTCTCTCTCTCTGTCAAATAAATAAATAAATAATCTGTAAAAAAAAAAAAAAAGACCGTTCCTTCAACACTCAGGAGCTTACATGTGCGTAAATGCGCGCGCATGCACGCGCACGCGCACACACACACACACACGCACACACACCCCTATTATTACTACTAAAGGCCTATTTTCACATTATTATCTCATTAGCCAGTGCTCCCAGCCATACTCCTGTACAAGGTTGCCATTACGCCCATTTTACAGATTAAGAAGACAAGCTCCAAGAGCGAACCATCCACAGTTTCAGAACCCGGACAGTGTAGAGACAGATTCAAAACTGGTTCTGGGTGCCCTTGGGCACGTGTTCTTTCTAGTATGCTCAGAGATTAAAAGTCTTCTCCTAGCTTCGTGTTCTTAGTCGTGGCACTCTCTGTGCCTCAGTTTTCTCCCTGGTGAAATGGAGGCTGTTGGGGAGTCAGGCGAGCCAATACATGGGACGTGCTCAGAATTAACACTGGGCTGCACAGGGCGCCCCGGCCCGTGAGCCCTCTGTCACTGAGCTGTGCATTCACTGGAGAGGACATGTTCTGGCCCTTTTAAATTCTTGAGGCCCTGGCCAGGGTCCTCTGATACCCTTTGCCTCCTCTTCCTCCCACCACCCACCCCCACTTTTGAGTCTCTTTACTTCCCACTATCAGCCTTTTTCCAGTTTTCAGATTTCAGGTGAGGAGAGAGAAAATGGCTTGTGACCTTGCAGGTTTCAATAGAAGAGCAAACAAGAAGGGCAGATAAGGAGACGCCAGTGAGATTCTATGACCTGTCATTAGGGATGGGCTTCCCAGCTATCAAATGTTTGCTCACATAATAAAATGGTGGCAGAGCCCTAAATGTTGTCAAAGGCACTAGAGTTATTTGTCCCCTTCAGAGTCTAAACACAAACAGCTGATAAGGGGTGCGCTGGGGTCCCTCAGAACCAAGGCCTGGCACAGCCAGCCCCGTGGGGGCCCTAGCCAGAGGATCTCTGAGGGGACCCTCTCTCTGAAAGGGGTGGTGGTAGCTGGGGTGACAGTTAAGGACGTCCTCACTCTACAGGGGCTGATTGCCTATGGCAAGAGCTAACGTTTACTGAGGTCCTACTGTGTGCCGGGCTCTGCGCTAAGTGGGGGCTTTATACTCATCCTTGTACTGGATTCACACATCAATCCTTTGAAGGTAATTACCATTCATTCACCGAACACTTTCCTGAATGCCTCCTATATAAAGAAGCTCAGCGCTTCTTTAGGCACGGGCCACGCAGCCATGAGCAAAGACCCTGTCCGTATAGTCACAGCGTTTATATTCTAGAGTTCTGAACAAATAAGTAAATGAATATGTATGTGTGTGTATATACATATGTATCTATATTGTACATGCATATATAAAACAAAATTCCAGGTGGAGATGAACACTCTGTAGAAAAAATACACGAGGGGAACCTGGGTGGCTCAGTTGTTAAGTGTCTGCCTTCAGCTCAGGTCACGAACCTGTGGTCCTGGGATCAAGCCCCAAATTGGGTTCCCGCTCGGTGGGAAGCCTGCTTCTCCTTCTCCCACTCCCCCTGCTTGTGTTCCCTCTCTCACTGAGTCTCTGTCAAATAAATAAATAAAATCTAAAAAAAAATACACATGATAACAGGTTAGGCTGATTTGAAGGAAAAGGGAATAATTTACACAGGGCAATCAGGAGGGGCCTCCTTGAAGTGGTGAATTTGAGCTGAATGAGATGAGGGAGCAAGCATGCAAAGATGTGTATTATGGAGTATTCAGGGCAGAAGAGACCACAAATCAGAAGTCCTGAAGTGGGATCACTTCAATCCTGGCTCAGCTGAAGCTGACTGGAAGGAGGAGGAGGGGAGGGTCGGCAAGGGGCTGATCACATTGGGCCTAGGAAGCCTCCATTTCAGCTTGGTTGCATGGGAAGCTACTGGAAAGTTTTGACAGGCCAGGGGTGACATGACTGGTTTCCCCCTTTAAGAGATAATTCCGGCTGCTGCGTAGTGAGCAGACCATAACCACCGTCGTGGGGCAGGAGTGGGAGTGGGAAGTTGAGGGCACTGGAGGTAATCAGTGAGGGAGGGGGCTGGACTGGTGGGGAGATGAGAAGCGCTCAGATGTGGGATGCATTCTGCAGGATTCCTGCACAACTGGTACCATTTTTGGAAATGGGGAAGCCCAAGAAAGAAGCAGTTTGAGTAGGGAGAAGTAGAGGCAAAATGAAGAGCTCCTATTTTAGCGAGGCTTGTCATGCCAAAGATGCGGCAGATTTGCGAATGGGCACTCAAGGCAGAGGTCTGTACTGGAGACAGAACTACTGAATCCATCAGTGTGGACACCTGATCCAAAGCCATGGGACTGGAAATAACCCAGGAGTGAACACAGTAGAGAATGAGCGCGAGGGCCCTCCAACAACTCAATGTTGGGAAGACAAGTTGCCAGCTATGGAAATGATGAGTGCCACAGTGGGGAGGACCAGGAACGGGTATCATCCTAAAATCCAAGTGACAAAAGGCGGGCGTGATCAGCTATGTCAGAGGCAGAGATGGAAAGTTACCCATTGGTTTGACAACACGGTGATACTAGTGAGCTGGACAGGAGATGCTCCAATGCCGTGTGAGGACCGATGACTGTCAGGAATAGCCTCAAGACAGAACTGGGGCTGAGCAGGTAGAAACAGTGGACACAGATAACTCACTTGTCTTCTTATGAGATTAGATTCATTATGGTTCTATTAATTAAAAGTAATGATGGGGCACCTGGGTGGCTCAGTCAGTTAAGCGTCGGACTCTTGATTCTGGCTCAGGTCATGACCTCAGGCTCATGAGATCAAGCCCCGTGTCAGGCTCTGCGCTAGGTATGGAGCCTGCTTAAACTTCTCTCTCCCTCTCCCACTGGCCTTCCCCTGCCTTTCTCTTCCTCTCAAATAAATAAATAAATGTATGTATGTATGTATGTAATGATTATGCTTCCAGTTTTACCAATGAGGGAACTGAGGCCTAGAGAGACTGTAGGTAACTTGCCCAGACTCTCACAGGAGAAAAGTCTGTGCTTCTCAACACAAGGAAGAGGACTTCCTTCTATCTTCTGAGCATGGCCACTGGAAAATAAATGCCCTTTGCCATTTACAGTCTTCCTTCCAAAGCTTGAGAGACAATCAGGGTTACCAGCGAGGGAAGGTCAAGTTTGCCCCAGCTGCCATGGGTGGGGTTTTGAGCCAAGCACTGAGCTAGGTATCTTACAAGACACACTGTGTTTAGTCTTTTTAATTATCCCATGGAAGAGGAACCATCATTTTCGTATTACAGGCGAGGAACCTGACGCTCAGAGAGGCTAGGACTCTTCCCTGAGGTCACACAGGTAGAAAGTGGTAGGATCTTAGGACTGCCAAGTTGGTGTTCTGAATCATCACACAGTCCCTGCCTGACCACCAGTGGAGAAGGCTGGAACGTGGGAAGCTGCCCAGGATTTACAAGAGGCTGTCTGCCTCCTCCTTAGCAGCCCCCTGACCTACCCATGCTAGCTGGAGCGGGGAGGAGAAGGGGTCCTCTCCTGACCTCTCTGTAAACTGGGAAGTGGAGCAGTGGGTATAGAGGCTGTGGAAACAGGACTCGGCGGGCAGCCAGCCCACACTTGTTCTAACCCGTGTCAGTGCTTGCTACGGTCCTGTTCCAGACTGGCAAGGCCCTGTCTTACAGGAGCTTGGGCACAGCTCCACTCAGATGGTGGCTCGCCAGTACGCAGGGTTGAGAAGGAGGGGGAGGCACACAGAGCCACAGGAGCTGCAGGTGACAGCGACCCAGCCCAGAGGTTCCTGAAATGTGATCCACATGGCCCCAGGGCATGTCTGTCCTGACAATGAAAACACTGTGATCAGATACAAGTTCAAATCCTCCCTTGAGCCTGATGCCTGCATAAACCTGGGACACTTTTCTGAGTGTTGAAAAAGGGATAGGAGAAGATGAGTGTGGTGGAATGGATTTGGAGAGAGAAGACCAAAGTCTGGGAGTCCAGCTCCAGATTTATCATCTGTGTGAGTTTGGCCAGATCCCTCCCCACCTCTGAGCCGCAGTGTTTTGCTCTGCAGGTTGGGTGTAAAAAATATCTACCTTGCAGAATGGGTCCGAAGGTTAGCTGGGAAAGAGATAAGAATGATGAAGCACTTGTTGCTATGCAAATGAGAGGCACTCAAAAAATGCTAGCTCTGAATTCATTCATTCATTCATTCATTCATTCCTCCATTTATATTTTCTGAACATCTACTATAGTCCAGGCATTTGGCTAAGCACAAAGGGCTCTGGCGCTTTGAGAGGTCCTTTCATGATTTGCTTTTTTTCTGGGAGTCTGGGAGTCCAGGGATGAGAGCACATCTGTGAGTCAGCATAAAAATGGGAAGCATGTAGACCAAGCAATGAGTCAAATTTTGAAGGAGTCAATAGAAGGCATCTCCTAAAGGATCACAGATGGAAAGCAGCAAGAGGGAAGGACTTAGCACGTGGAGTACTTGACCATGTACCAGCCATTCTTCTAGGCATGTGAATATCCTGTGAGACAGGGTTAGGATTTTCCCCATAAGAGATGCAGAAATGGTCCCGCAGGATGAATTAACTGCCCAAGGTCCTGTGGTGGGGCGGGGAAGGGACTGGGGTGAATGCAAGGCTGCTGGCTTTTCCCAGCATTCTGTGATGCCTCTCAAGGAGGGCTGCCCGGGATGCGTCCCTTGGCCTGGAGCATCTGTGCACCCTAATGGCCCCATTTCGTGCACATAGCAGTCTATGAAAGATTTGGAGAAACCTGGCCTTGTGGTTTTTAGCTATTGAACCCAGCTGTTCCCCCAAAGTATGGGACCAAGGAATCCTCCTGTCCTTACACCACGCCCAGTTCCAAGCAACCTTCTTGAAACTTGTTTTGTTATATAATACTTTAGGACAAAGAGAAAGCAACATTGTACCACATCTCTTTCAGCATTCAGTCTGACTCTTTGCCTGGGGAACAGATTTGGTACAAAATTTTCCTTACCTTGGTTCTTTCTGTCTGTACCTTTACCCTCACTTCCCCATCCCTCTTCTCCTTCAGTTTGGAAGAAGAAAGTAGACTGACTGGGACACCTAACGGGGGCTGAAATTCATGCTTGTTCCTGACCATTAAGACTGCAATAGCAGCAAAGGCTTGGGTGTTTTTGAGACGGAGGTCGCAAGGCCAGTATTGCTTAAACGGAAGGAGTCCAAGATTTAGTCAAAGCCCAGAGTCTGAAGGTCCAGCTCTAGAACCGACCAGCTGTGAGACCTTGGGCAGGTCACTCTGCCTCTCTGAGCCTCAGTTCATTCCTTTGTACCAAGGAAGTTGCAACAGAAAGATGATGAGATCATGTTCACGAGAAGTATAAACCTACAGGGCTCCGTGCATAGTTTGATCCTACATGTGAACATCCTTCTCATCACCCCAGAGATGAGGCTACCGCCAGACTCCTGAACCGCCCAGGGACTGGGACAACTTCCCGGTGGTTCTGGAGGGCTGTTCGTGCAGCTTCAAGGTCGGCTGGCCACTCTGTCCAGCGGAGGGGAGAAGCCATTTGCCGGCCAGTGCCGCGTCTCAGAGAGCGTCTCGGAGAATTTTGATTAAGAGACCATTTCCTGAATTCAGAGGGCTTGTTTCAACAAGCAAGCATCAAAGTCAACTTGGGAAAGACAGGAATAATTAATCAGAGCCCTGTCTAGGGCTGACCAAGTGGCAGATGGATTGATAAACCTTTCAAAGGGGGAAGGTATTCCCAAGCAGGGCTGCTGCGCCTGGCTGGTTCCCTGACTGAGATTTGTGAGCACAGATAAATGTTTTCCCTGCTCACTACAAAGAGTGGGAAATCGCACGGGAGTCGAAGGGCAGGGCCACGGGGGGGTGTCCTTTCATCTTCCATTGGGTGAGAGAAGAGTGGCAGAGCAGGTCCCACACAACTCCTCCCTCTCCCAACTCCAGAGCCCAGCTGCCTAGGCCATGTGTGGACCCTAAATCCACACGATCTCATCGAATCCCTAGGACAAGTCCATGTTATGACTCTTATTTTAAAGGTGAAGAAATGAGGGCTCAGAGAAGTCAAGGTGGGCAAACCTGTAACAGAACCCACCTGCTCCACCATACTGTGGGACCAAGAGGAGATGTGGGCAAAGGGAAGAGCAGAGAACCTGAGCCCATGAAAGCACATGAAAGCACACGGCACTGGAGGAGGTTTGAGTCCCAGGACTCATAAAAAAGACCAGCAACAAGACCAAACCCTGCTGAGCGCCTCTGACATGAAGTTCAAGGCTGTCACCTACTTATCTAGTAATCAATAGAGGCCAAACAGTTCCCACGCTGCACAGACCCCAGCTCCTAAAAGGTCCTATTGTATTATTCTGGAACTGTCGTGTGTGTTCAGACACCCTGTCCTATTTCCTTACTCTCCGTGTCCCGTGGCAGGGACAAGCTGCAGGGATGAGTCCTGTCTTTGGTTGGGTTTACTGCTCCATCGGCTCTCCCTGGAGGTGGGAACCAGCTACCCACTGAAAGAGTGACGAAGCCTCTGGATTCCCCACTTTTAGTGCACTGCGAAGTAAATTCTAAGTTTCTTGATAAAACACCATGTAAACACAGGCCCCTGGAAGGCCCGAATGTGCACTGGGGAATCTCCACTGGTGGGGAGAGTTGGGTCACTCTCTGAAATTTGCAGTGTTCCGGGTCCAGCATGGGTCCTGGATAGGGTAATTGGCCTTACTACTCCCTTTTTCCATTAATTAATTTGTGGAAAAGCCTCAGGCATCCCTCTTGCAAAGCAAGAAATGCTATAGAGGGCGTGACTGTCTTGAGTCGCTCTTGGAAACACCTTTTCCATGGATCACCGATCAATCCATGGGAAATACTCAGTCTCAATACCTAAAGGCTCTGTGTAATCCAGTCTTCAACGGATTATCAAGCCCTGGACATTTAGTGTTCTTGCTGGGGAAGCTGAGGGAGCAGAAAGTCCTTTAGCAAGTGGCCCACCTTCTTTGCCTCTGACCTCAGGGACTCCTTTAGCAAGTAACCAGGAGCCTGGGAAGGACCAGGCTCAGGCCCCACGTGCCACCCTCTCTGCACATCACCTGGGTTGCAGGCCCCACCGAACTTCCTTTGGGCATTTACCTGTTTACTGGAGGACATGTTGGTAAGCGTACTGATGCTGCTCGTATCTGTGACCACCATCGCAGACGGAAACCGGGAGGTGTGGGAATACTGGGGGGGTTCCTGCTTGTGAGTGTACACTGGAGAAACAGAGGGAAGACAAAGTCAAGACCACTTTGGTATGACCACACAGGTATGTACACAGCTACAGACCTACAGACCCCGCCCCCATCCCACACCATAAGTTCTTATGTCCCTAGGCAGAGAAGAGGGGGCAGGTGCTGGTGATGTTTCAGAAGGCAGCCTGATGTGGTCAAAAGAATGGCCATGTGTTTCAATTCTGGCTCCTCAATTAAGTCACGTCACCTCAATTTCCTCATCTGTAAAATGGGAATGATAGCTGTTGTAGATTGGAAAACATCACGTGGAAAGTACTTTGTACCAAAGACACAAACAGCTTTGCACAGTGTCTTGTTGGCGGTAGTGGATGGCACTTCTGTTCTCCTGACTTTTCAGTTAAATGTTAGATGCTTAACATCAACAAATGGGCCTTAGGCATATGTGGTGCGTCAGAGATTGTAAGTCAGAAAAAGTTCTAAGTAGCCAGCAAACATAAACGAGTTGGCCAGCACAAGCTTATCCTATCTGCCATGACTCAAGAGCCAGGTCTTACGCAAAGCAATTACAAACTGATTAATAATTATAATTAGACATGGGTATAATTCGTTGTATAATTCTGGGTTGTTCCAATTTGCGCTAAAATGACATCACAGGTCATATTATGATGTCACAGGAAGACGAAGGACGACAGACAAGGGGAGACTAGATGCAGATAAAACCTTTAGGAGCAGGTGACTCATTTTTCAGTTTTTCCAGTACTTGTTTCACCGAGTCTAGAACTTTTTGACTCATGCGATTTATCCATTAGATTCATATAAAATCCAAGTCACATGACCAGCTAACAGAAGCATGGGGCTGTTTGGCCGTGAGGGAGGGAGCAGACTATTCTATCCACCACAGCATCTTCTAGAGGGTGACGGGGTAAAGGTCACTGCCTGCCACTCCAGCCGGTCCTTCCTGCAGAGGGAGGCTGACTGCTGCCTGGTCCTGGGGCCCCCAACTGGGCCTCTGCAGTTCACAGGTACTAGGGACCACTCTCTGACAGTCCCACCTGGGCCTGGCAGGGGGCAGCGACAAGCAGGGGCATATTATCAGGTCCCGAACAGAAAGGAAAGTGGGTATGTACGGTCCTAGACTCTGCTACAGGTTATGGCAGATTTTTCCAGAAGCCACATAAAAAAATGTGATTGGAATGTGAGATGGTGCTTGGAAACCAGCTCTGCAGGCCTGAGGAGGGGAGAGTGCCCCGAGGACAGAAGAAGGGTGAGCTGTGCAGCCAGGGGAGAAACAAAAACCCTCTTCCCCATTCCTGCCTCCTATTAAAAACTCCCTTAATAAATCAGCACCTGCATTTCTGTAACTCTTGTGTTCACCAGATACAGGTCAGACCTAGTCTTATTTCACCTCCATAATCACTCTCCATAATCACTCTCCATTATTTATCTCGTCTCCATAACCTCTCTACATTCCATTTTATGGATGAGGAAATTGAGGCTCAGAATGGCTAAGAAACTCTACCAATGGCTACACAGCTGGTAAGCCTCAGAGGCAGGATTTAAATCCTATGTTTGTCTGACTCCAAGATGATCACTCTATTCCAGACACTTCTTGGGTGTTCCTCTGGGACCCTGCCAAACTTATAGGCCAGGGGCTGTATCCTGATCTGGCCAGAGGGCTGGGCTGTGGGCCTGGGGCTCAGGACAGAGGGCGGGGATACAGTGGCTGGAGTGGGTGGGAACTAACTGGTTGAAAGACAGGATATGAGAAATAGTCTGGGGGTTGGGGGGGGGGCGGGTAATGGCAGAAGCACTACCATTCTTTTTTTTTTTTTTTTTTTTAAGATTTTATTTATTTGACAGACAGAGATCTCTAGCAGGCAGAGAGCCCGGCAGAGAGAAAGGAGGAAGCAGGCTCCCCGCTGAGCAGAGAGCCCAATGCGGGGCTCGATCCTTGGACCCTGGGACCAAGACCTAAGCCGAAGGCAGAGGCCTTAACCCACTGAGCCACCCAGGCGCCCCAGCACTATTATTCTTTATCCAAGATGGCAAGGAGGTGGTATTGTCCATCTATGTCCGTGGTTCTCGATTAGAGTTGTCTGAGGTGTGTCAACGGGACAGCATGGGGATTCTAGAAGATTCTTCAGTTTCCGAGAACACAAACTGCATGCCTACTCTTGTCATTTGGTAATGACTACCTGGAATTTTAGATTGAAAGGGCTAAGCTGAGGCTCATGGGGAAAAGGCTCTGTGGTTGCCTAGCAAGATCGTCCATGGGTGCCAACCCTGCTCTCTATCTCCAGCTCCCCTTTACACGTAGGCTCAACTGTCCTCTTCAAACCTCCCCCAGGAGTCATGGAGGTAGAGAGTAGGTCTAGGAAAGGCACAGACCACACAAGGGTCATGTTGAGGAATTGTCTGGGTTGATAACAGGTAGGGAAAAGTGACCAAATCAATTCACTTCCAAGCAAGTATGGATCCAGAGAGGGCAGAGGTGGGCTGCGTAGGACCCTTGGTGGTGCCCGCCCCACTCCCCCAGCTCCCTCGCCACTCCGCCCCATGTTCTTACTGTGGGAGTTCTGCAGCTGCGTGACGGCCGCCATGAAGGGCTGTTGGGTCATGTGGCTGCTGGGGCTCTGCTGCATGAGGGGCTGCTGGTGAGGGCTGTGCAGCTGCTGGGAGAACTGGACAGGCTGCAGGGCCGCCAGACTGCCGGCCACACTGTTGATGACAGGAACGCTCTGTGCTTGGGAGGTGTTGAGGCCTGTGGGAGCAAGAGGGAAAGATCAGAGGTGGCTTCAGGGATGCGGAGAGGCGAGTGCCCTGGCATGGCCACCGATGTAGTCCTGCCATGTGCCCGGCACGGCTGGGCTTCGCGTGAGAGATTGCCTGGGAAATGGTTTTATAGATCCATTCTGCAGACAAAGAAACTGAGGCTTGGAGAGACGGATTGCTCCCTCACATTCCACAGTGAGCTGTGGATGGAATTGGGCTTACACAGATCCGAGGCCTGAGAGTCATCCTCCCAAACTTGGCTCCCTTGAGGTTGCCAGGACCCTGGGAAGGCGCCCTCTAACTGGCCAGCTCCCTCCAGACCTGACTCTGAGAGGCCTACCTGGGTGCCCTGAGGGTAGCTTAGTGCGCCACTCAAAGGCACAGGTTACTGCCCAGACTTGTCTGCCCAGCAGAGGGCAGGAGTGTTCAGGAACTCACATTTTGATTAAAAAACCCAAACCAAAACTGAAAAACCACCACCACCACCAACAACAACCTGCACTGTCCTAGGAGTACAAAGCCAGAAGACCGTCATTTAGCGAACCGGTGCAAAGACCCCGGCAGAGGTCAGATGCTCCTTCTCTTCACTGTAGCAGAGACGGAGGGAAACACCAGACCTCAGCCCGTCTGTGAAGTGGAAGGATTTTATCTGGCGGCACAGAGCTCGTGGCATCAAAAGGTCCAGGTAGTGGGAAGAGGAAGTTGCAAGTTAAAGGTTGACCGTTTATAGGGGCTCTTGCCATCTTTCTGCTCTGGAGGTGTCAGGCCTCTGTGGTCCTGTTCTGTGTCTATATCCTCTGCAGAACCGACGCCAGCGCTGCAGAGACTGGGTCCCTGGTCCACCCCCACCCCTGCCACTCCATGTGCTCCCTGGGCGGGAATCTGGGGGAGACAGCCTAGCCAGGGTGGGAGTGGTGATGAGAGGATTGGGGCAAGATACCCCGATCTCTTTCCTGGGGCTGCCAATGTTCCTTTGAGTTTGCTTTCTGTGAAATGGAGGGCAGGATGGGATGAAGAGGAAAATCCAGAAAAAAGGTCTCTTTCAGGCAAGTGTGGAAGCGACACCTGGAGGGCCTTTCCTGAAATGGAGAGGGTTCTAGAAGCGGGTTTGTGGGAAGTCCTCCGTGGAGACAGCAGGAATACCTCATCTGGTGCTTACTCAGGGCTTTAGCTGATACTGTTATCAGAAACCTAAAAGGCGAGGACCCCTGAGCAGAAGTAAAGGGAGAATAAGCCCCCTCCTGGGTCTTCTGGGGAGGGGGGCTGGGGCCGGGTCCTCTGATCCCATACAGACTAGCACTATCTCCCATTCTCTAGGGGCTCAGGTACCCAAGCCCCAGTCTCACCTGATATCCTGATATATCCTGTTTCCCTCTCCTACCTTCCCCTGGGGTCTCCTGGGAGGCCCCACGGACTTGCTATCCTCCCAGGCTTATTACTGCTGCTCTTTTGGGGAAATCTCTGCCCAGAAAAGCCAATTACCCTGTTGGGAGTGGATGACATTTGAGGGCACAGTTCTAAAACCTGCCTGTGCTTTAGAATCATCTGGGGGAGCTCTTTAAGAAATATACATTCCTCTGCCTCACCCAGGACTTAATGAGTCAGAGCCTTCAGAGGTGAGGCCCAGGAATCTTATTTTCAACACAGTCTGTGATCCTGCTGTGTGCCTCAATTCCAGGATCGAGAGCCACTGATGTCATTCTAGCTCCCACGGAGTGTGACTCTTGGCCTTTTCACCTGTTTTCTGGGCACTGATTCCTGCCTGAGAAGCATGTTGTCCATCCAGTGGATGAATAGAGAATGGGGGGTTGGTAATGCCAACCAAGTACTTTGTTACCATTTCTGCCCAGGGCAGGACCCTCAGACTCAATGGGACAAGAGCTGGCCACAGGAGGACACCTGCAAACAAGTCTTCAGCCTGTCACTCCACTGGCTAGGACCACGAGTTTCAGACAAGTTTTCTGGGGATCCTCGCCATTCTTCATTACCCCCCCAAGTCCAAGCACACACCTGCACATGCACCATGAACACACTTCCAAGGCCAATGTATACTCTGCAGATTAAGGATACAGCAAGATGGCAGAGAAGTCTGGGTGGAAGAAATCAGGAGGAACAAAGCTGAAAAAATATGGAATGGCTTCTGGGAAAATTTTAGTTCAGAGAGTGCCTAAGAAAATATTAAGGATTGTGTGTCAGCCGAAGCTTGATGTGGGAGTAAAGAAGGTAAGTGGGATGGTTTGTGTATCTTTTCGGTTGTGGAAATTAAGAGGTGATAAAAAGAGCTTAGACATGGGTCTTTTAACCAAATCTTCTAGAAGGCAAGCAAGCTGGTTTTAGGTATCCTAGCTCACTCTCAAACCCTGCTGTTAGTATGGTTACCACATTCCTATGAAAAGGCAGTGAGTTTAAAAATTTTTTATTTTGTCAGTCCTCTAAAAGCTTCTCTAGTCCCATTTCTCTCTGCAAAAACAAAAAACAAAAACAAAACAACTGCATTTGCTATTTCAATTCCTGAGCAGCTGAGGACATGCTCAGTAAAGCTGGATGCCTGCCATGGGTCTAGCCCAGTTCTACCCTCCAACAGCACATGAGCCACTCTCCGCAGAAGTGATCTGAGTAGCCACCTTGGCTAGAGCTGACTTAGAGAGGAGAGAGAGAGAGGAGGAAGAGGCAGGAAAAAGGAAAGAAGTGCAGGCACTGGATATAGGGAAGCCACAAGGACAAGGGGATGATATTAGCAGAGAGAAGGAGAGCAATGCACCATTCAATCTCTCCCGAGACTTCTTGGGAAGACTTCCCAGGGTCAGGGTGATGACTTGGCCCGTGCTGCCATGATGGAAGCCGGAAACAAACTGACTACTCATCAGCATTAGAATTCTGAGAGCGGCATGCGACCCCCCTCAGCCTTTCCATGCCCTGATCTGGCGTACCCGTGAGGGGCTAGAGGTTCCTTGTACAACAAGAGCCCCCTAGAGCTGGAAGTACCAGATCCATGCCCCATCTTCCAGTATGTTTCTCCTTGAAGGATCAGAGATGCTCCTACAGTTTCCCTTGGGAGTTTTCACTGTATTTTCACCACTGGCCAAAGAGCTGTCCCATGACCACACAAAATTCCCTGTTTAGAAGGAAGCCCATCATTGCTCCATCTTTGCCAGCACAAAGAAACATCAGCATCACTTCCTGGAACATCTACCATATCCTTACAGGTAGAAATGAACACGAGACAAAAGTACAAGCTCTAATATTACATACTCACACTTTGCAGATTTACAAGCATGTCTCTATGCACTGTTATTGGATCACCTCAGCAACCCATTTTACAGATGAGGAAACTGAGCCTCATTAAGGTTAATGATTTGCCCCAGGATGCACAGCTGGTGAGCCGTGACCCAGATTCAGTGTGACTCCATTGTTCCTCTTTCTTTAGGCTAAACAGTCCAAATATTGTTGAGGAGAGAGATAAGGAACTAAACATAAGCAGAATCAAAATCGACAAGCAGTGGGTGAGTTTGAAGGGAGCTTTTTTTTTTTTTTAATTTTTTTTTTTTTTAAGATTTTTATTTGACAGACAGATCACAAGTAGGCAGAGAGGCAGGCAGAAAGAGGAGGAGGAGGCAGGCTCCCTGCCGAGCAGAGAGCCCGATGTGAGGCTCGATCCCAGGACTCTGGGATCATGACCTGAGCCGAAGGCAGAGGCTTTAACCACTGAGCCACCCAGGCGCCCTGAAGGGAGCTTTTTATAAACCTTTTTAAAAAATCAGATTGATTTACTTCCCACCCTTCTTCTCCCTTCCCCCTAGGTTTTGTGACCAAGAACGGAGCTTACTTTGTGCAATGGCCATGACTCCGGAGAGGGGGGTCATGATGAGGTTTTGAGATTGCTGGGGATTATGGTGGGACAGGCTGTGGATATTCGTCAAGGTGCTGACAGGGGGCAAACCACCTCCGGAGACGGAGATCTGCTGGAGAGAAGAAACAAGAGCAACGTGAGTGGGACCGGGACTGCAAAGACCAGTATCCAAAATGACATGGCTCAGTAAGTCCTCGGGACAGCTAACTCACCCACTCATTCATTCATTCATTCACTCGCTCACTCATTCATTCACCCGCACTCTCATTCATCACTCATTCACTCACACACTCATTCATTCACTCACTCATTCACTTACTCACACACTCTTTCATTCTCTCACTCACACACACTCATTCACTCACTCATTCACTTACTCACACACTCTTTCATTCATTCACTCATTCATTCATTCATTCATTCATTCAAACAAACAATTATGAAGCATCCACTGAGGCGCAGGCACAATTCTAGGTGCTAAAGACCAAGAAGCAAAACACACAACCCGACCCTTATGGTGCTTCTGTCTGTTGACTACTTTGAGTTACCTGCCTGCCTTAGGGATTCTTCTGCTCCCGGGTATTGTGGGACTGTGGCTTGCTCAATTTGGAAGTATCCTCTGTTCTGCTCCATGCTGTCTCTCTTACTGGTGCTAAAGACATGTGATTGCTGAAAGTAACGACTGAAATCTGCCTGAGTGAGAGTGGATTAGGGACTAGGCAGAAGGGCCAGAAAGCTCTCACCATTACAGACTCCACTAAGTACCACTCATACATTAACAGACAAACTTCACTGTGGTTCCGTGAGGCAGAAACTTCACGGTAGATCTGTATCAGGTAGATACGGTATCAGGTAGATATATCACTGTTTCACAGAGGAGATATGTAGGTTGCCTAAGATCCAGTAACCCAGCAAGTAAGTGGTATTCAAACCCAGGTCTGCCTGACTCTGGAAGTCAAGTCCTTACCGTTTTGTTTTTTTTTTTTTTAAAGATTTATTTATTTATTTATTTGACAGACGGATCACAAGTAGGCAGAGAGGCAGGCAGAGAGAGAGAGGAGGAAGCAGGCTCCCTGCTGAGCAGAGAGCCCGATGTGGGGCTCGATCCCAGGACCCTGGGAACATGACTTGAGCCGAAGGCAGAGGCTTTAACCCACTGAGCCACCCAGGCGCCCAAGTCCTTACCTTTTACAGAGGACCTTTCCTTACCCCGCTCCTGCCATTACTACTAAGGGTTGAGGGAGATCAGCCATCATTGTGCTTCTCTACCTTTTCTGAATCTCCACTATCCATGAACAATTTTTATTTTTTTGGTCAAGGAGCTGCTGTCTTAATGACAAAGCTACTAAATGATAAGCCCTGGGCCCCAGGGGCCCCCATTCTGTGGCAGCATTATATTTTAATGACAGATGAGCAAGAGAAAGCTACTAATTTTAATATGTTTACTACGCACATGGCCACTTTGCAACCTTTCACTGGGGATCAAATACTTTTATTTATTCCTTATAGTGTCTTTTCCTTATTGATTTTCCTCACTTTTCCAAGGTATGAAGGCATCATGAGCCCACGTGCTGATAGGGTCTCTTCCTTGCTAGTACTAATATGTGTACAGGTCTTATTGCATTGGTTAGAACTTTCTAAACAGTATTAAACAACTGTCATAAATGTGCTTGTTTTGATTCTGATGTTTTCCAAAATGCTTCCAAAGGTTCCCCACTAATTATAAGAATTTATCAATTTTACACACACGCACACAGACACACACACACACCTGCAGATGCACACAAGCACATAGTTTGTTTGTTTGTTTGTTTGTTTTTGGTGACAAAGTAGTTTACTATTTATAGTTTTAATAATTTCTAAAATTATTTTTAAGAAAGGATGTCTCGGGCCACCTGGCTGGCTCAGTCGGTACAGCATGTGACTCTTGATCTCGGGGTTGTAAATTCAAACCCCACACTGGGTATAGAGATTACTTAAAAATAAAGTCTTAGAAAGAAAGAAAGAAAGAAAAGAGGGGGGAGGGAAGAAGAAGGGAGAGAGATGTCTCCTGACATTCTGAACTACTCTAGACATTCTTGATGGTATCAGGACTACTTGGAGATACTTTAGGGTTAGAGTATAGACATTCATGTCTGAGTAGTCCTGTTGCCCTTCTTCTGGAGTTTGTCAAACGATAGGTCTCATGCCAGCACCTGGGTAAGACACTATCTCCCGCCCTGACCTTCTGGTCAACCCCATAGCTTCCAAGGTTAATTTGAAAAAGAAAGAAAGAAAAAAACCAAATGGGTTTGTTTGTGTTTTTTTAAAAATGGGCATCAAGAAGTCAGTTGGGGTTGGAGGGGGGAGGTGTCACGTGACCAAGAAGGAATTCTGACCACATCAAACAAGAGAGAACCAGCCTGTTCACTGGGCTTGTTTTTCAAAATGTCAGAGCCATTAAAAAAAAAAGAAAAGAAAAGAAAAGAAAAGAAAAGAAAAGGATTCAGTAACCTGCCTTCAGACTTCCTTTGGGTAACGTAGTCCTTTGGAGAAAATCAATGAAGTGACAGTAATCTCTGCTGTTTCAATGTTTGATTTTAATGGTGAAAGAGAAACACAAATGCCAACCATGGCTTTAGAGTTTGTCAGGTGCTTGCACTGATTGTCCCCAACAGATAATGACACAAGTAAGGAGGGCATTCTCACCACTGCCCCTACGTTACCAATTAAGAGACTGATCCTCCCAACAGTGGACAGACCAGCTCTGCGTCACATGACTAGTCAGTGAGGAAGCCAGAATTCACACTCAGTTTTGCCAGAGTTCAAATCCCTTCCACTTACTATTTTTGGGTAACCTTGGTCAAGTTCCTTCCCACTCTAAAATGCAACCAGTATTTTCTACTTGCCTCCAGAACTGAAGGAAGCCAGGGGCTGCCTTCATGATTCTTACATGATAATTCGCTGTGTCTGAATTACATGAATGCTGCCATTTGCAGTTTGCCTACACTAAGTGCTTTACTGTGTACAACCTACAAGGTTGGTGTTATTACCCCCACATTGCAGACATGGAAACAGAGGTTGAGAGAAGTTCAGAAATGTGCTCAAGTCATGTTGGTGTTGAAAGCAGGCCATCCGCCTCTAAGGCCTGAGCTTTGATACTGGGAAAGTATCCAGTATGTGTGTTTTAATTTTTATTATTATCATTATTATTATTATTAAGTAAACTCCATGCCCAATGTGGGGCTCAAACTCATGACCCCAAGTTCAAGAGCACATGTTCTACCGACTGAGCCAGCCAGAAGCCCCAGTATGTGCTTGTTTGTTTAAGATTTTTATTTATTTATTTGAGAAGGAGAAAGCATGAGTCAGAGGAGAAGTGGAGGGCAAGCAGACTCTGTGTGAGCACAGAACCCGACAAAGGGCTTGATCCCACGACCCCAAGATCATGACTTGAGCTGAAACCAAGAATCGGACACTCAACCAACTGAGCCCCCCAGGTGCCGCAGTAGGTGCTTTTAAAACAACAACAACAACAACAACAACAACACAATGTTCAACACACACAAACTGCAACCCTAAATCGAGCCAGCTTTTTGCCTATGCCCTTGGGTGCAGGAGAGGGAACAGACAGTGCAAAGGAAAGCTCACGTGGACCAGCAGTATTTCCAAAACTGATCCCCAGGGGAAGATTTTGAATTCACATCCTAGTGAACGTCAGTACACAAGAGACTGCCACTCCTCGCCTGGGGCTTACCCAAAGAACTGCAGTGCTACAAGCCATCCTCACACCAATCCCACCATGCAGGCATGATTGCCCCCCATGTTACAGATGAGGAAGCGGAAGTTAAGCAACTTCCATCCTATCACTGATAAACAACCAAGCCCAGGACGTGGACATACGGGTTCCCTTGCCTGCGTTATTTTTAACCATATTCCACTCCTGCCTTGGTGGACCACATTCTGGGATGGACCTGTTACATATTAACAGAAAACAGATTCTTGCATTTGGGCATCCAGTAACAGTGACATAACATGTAAGCCAGGGTGTTGGAGACTAGCAAAAAGCCGGTCCCCGCAAACCAGCTTCCAGGTGTTTGCTAACATTGAGGTGTGCTCTCTTGGTCAATCATCAATCCAGTAACACGCTGCCCATTAGGGCACTGCTGAGCAGAACAGGAAGCAAAAAGCCTGTCTGCAGCAGCCCCGGCTTGGGGTGAGGCCACTTGTCTCTGAGGAGAAAGAGCCGGAGGGTCCAAAGGGAAACCCCAAGGACCTTCAAGCGAGAGAAGTGGAGACTTGGAGGGTTTTATGGGCTATGTCTCCCATAAACCCCCCTTCTCCAGAGCAGCTTGGGCGATCCTTACCCCTAACCTGTTTGGGTCTCCAAGTGACTCACAGAAACTTGCCCGTGCCTCTCTCGTTTGCACAGACTGCTACCAGGGGAGAGCAGCGCGTCTGCACAGACCACGACCCAGGCTAGCTCTCCCCTTGGAAACTACATGCTGTTTTTCCCTCCAGGGAGCTGGGGACTAAGTCACCAGTGACTCACCATTCCTGTGTTGCCTACACAGTGCACACACGTCAAGGTCTGAAATGGCATCTGCTCCCCGTCCCCGTCCCCCCAGTCCCCTCCCCACCGCTCCAGCCCCCACCTGCCTCTGGGTCAGACACCTTGAGGGAATGTGTGCAGCTCCGCCTTGAGCGTGGAAGCCGGGAACAAGCAGCTCCTCCCCCACCGAAACACAGAGCGTGACCCAAAGAATAAAGTTTTCCATTTCCTGCCCTTACCAGTGTCGTAATGCCTGTCTCTCTCACTAGCCGTGCTCCCCTGCCCTTGTGTGGCTGGAGAGTGAGAGCCTTGTCAATTCAAAGAGTCTATTCCTCACCGAGTGTGCTAAACTTACATCTGGGTGTGGGCTGTGGGTATGGCCATAGAAAGCTTCATTTAGAGAGAGGGACACGGACATCCACATCACACCACCACGGCGTTTCTCAACTCTATGACATGGTGCGGAGTCTTAACTTGTTAGTATACTTGCTCCCCCAAGCTACCGTATTGTTATCACCCCCATTTTATAGCTGAGAAAGAAAGAAGAGTTCAGTAACCCGCCCAAGGCTACTCAGCTATTAAGTGCGGGAGGTGGGATTTGAACCCTGGTCCCTGGAACTTCAAAGTCGGTGTTTCTCAATGGGCAAGCACTGCCCCACCCCACCATTCTGTGCTGTGCTCTTCCGTGAGGTACATCAGATGTCCCAGCTCAAGAAGCTTCCCTCCATCCCTCCCGCCCTCTAAATCCTGACTCAGTTTCTCTCTACGCCAGCACCAGGGGGCGGTGAAGAGAAAGAGGGGGCTTGTTTCCAAGTGAAGTCCTCTCTGAGGTGAAAAGACTGGCTTTGGAGGCCTTGGTGGGGGGTGGGTAAAAATGAACATTTTATCAATGCAAATGTCTTTGGCGGGCCCCAAAACAAACAGGGTCCCACCCGGCTTGCTCCTTTATGAGGCATTCAATCAATAAAATGAGAGCAGAACTCTGTCAGATTTATTGGCTAGGTTCAAACCGAACACCTCTTCCACCCGCCAAAGGCTGGGTCACCAGTCCTACCTTTCCGTTCCAACTCTGGACAGCCCCCATTTTCCCCGAAGGGGCTACAATGGCTCATTGTTTGAGGCAGGCCTTGTGAGAAGTTGTGTTTGTTTTGCCTCTTATCTTATCAGCTCCAGAGCTACAATGGCCCAGGTGTACTCACCATTTTACCATCAGGTGAGAGGAGATTGTGGCCAGGGTCCAGACTGGCGGGAGAGACTTGCTGTAAAACGGACTGGCTGGTCACCATGGCGCTGTTGCCATGGTGGCTGATTGTTGAGGCGGAAGTGACCTCACTGTTCCCCGGCTGGCTGTAGCGGACGCCTGCAAAACAAGACGGACCCCACAGCAGCCGTGAATGCCCCCAGGGCCTTGGAACACAGACTTGGTTCCCCTCGTTGGCAAGAGTGGATGCCAAGAACGCCAAGTAGCCTTCTCCTCCCCCGTCTGCCCACAAGAAACACTGGCCATCTTTCTCTAGGGTAGAGGTGGCGTGGGCTTGACTTCAAATTCCAGAATGTAAGCTCCACGAGGGCAGGGCGTTTTTGTCTGTTTTGTTTTGTTCATGGTGGTATCCCTAGTGTCTTGTCACTTGGTAACCACTCAATACATACCTGTCAGAGGAAAGAAGGAAGGAAAGAAGGGAGGGAAGGAGGGAGGAAGGGAGGGAGGGAAGGAGCAAGGAAGGAACTCAAATGCATGAGAGGATTCCCCTCGTTGTTGCTTTAGCATAATTGTTTCAGGATTTAGGTGCTGAGATTGGCCTTCTCTTCCTGGTAAGAGTATTTCTTTTACTCTTCAAAATGCTTTCTAGAAATGTTTCTCCAGCACTCATGGCAATGTGGGGCCTGCAAAGTATGAGCAGACCCATTCTACAGAGAGGCACTTGCCCAAGGACCGCCGCAGGAGCCATAGCGGAAGGCATCCATCTCTGCACACCATGGTTTTGGCTGAGACTAAGAGGCCCCCAAGGGGACACGGGCGGAGCAGGACAGGGATGTGGGGCTGCGGCTGGGAGTCTTGGGCTCTGTAACTCACATTCCTCTGATGGGGTCCCATCTGGCTGACTTCCAGGGCCCAGGGGAAGGTGCAGCCGCCAGGAGGTGGGGCAGGGAGCACATCCTGGCAGGACGTGGATGATTAGTCTGCAAGGGAGGGGAGAACCAAGCATGCTTATAGCCTCCCTGCTCTGACCCTCCCTCTTGCTCAGGAACCAAAACAGAGGTCTGCGCTCAGGAAGGCAAAAGTGCTGCGCAGAGGTGGCCTACAGAAGGAAGCAGAAAGGGGGTGGGGGGCAAAGAACCTGGGCCCAGTTTGCAGGGTCAAAGTCTCTCTGGATGTGCCCACGAGACAGCCAAAGACAAAGCTGGGGGTCTCTGGGACATCTCACCTAAGCTCAAAGCTGATGAAGACCATGTACTTGTTTTTCACTTTGGATTCAACAAAAAAGTTTGAGGGACCCTGGGTCTACCTGCAAGGTAGGGAGAAGGAATGCTCTCGGTGTGCCATTGCTTGGAGAGGTGGGCCAACTGTCTGACTGCAATTCTCCATTTGCCAGTTTTCCCCATATTAACTCTGACTGTATCAAGGACACTGGATCTGTTGGTCTGTCTCCTGCTGCCCTCCTTCCTGCTCCCCCAGGGCCCCACCCTCCCGAGGAGGCTACAAAGCTCCCCCCACCCCCACAGGAGCCTCCAAATCACTAACACGAAGCTTGCCAAAAGGAGACCCAAGCCAGTTTTCCTGACACCATCCAAAGGACGTTACCCAAGGCTAATATGACCTAGAGCCATAGGGGACTAGGAAGAAAACAAACAAATGCTAAGGCAGGCTTCCAACCTTCAAAAGCAATCTGCCTGACTCTGAGCGCTTACTGTGTGCTCTACGGACTTCTTCTATGGGTGGTTGTCCCCATCCTTTGATGCATGGGGCTGCTGGTGGGGGTGGCAGTGGGACAGCATTGGAATTTGATGGTTATTGGTCTAGGGCACTCCACTTTGGGGGGAACAGGAGCCATAACGTTAAAAGGAGGAAAGGCTTCCCTGCCTCCAAAGCAGCACCCCTTGCCTGGTCCTGCCCATGTCCCCCCACAGCCACCTGCAGCCCTGAAGTCTCCTATTTACGACTCTCTACTCTGCCCCACTGGGTCACATGAGGTTCTTTTTCTCCACTCACATTTGCCACTGGGCTCCTGGCAGGGTGTGTCCCAACAGCTCCTAGTGCTGTTACGCAGAAGAAGAAAGATGTAGGCCTTGTGAGCTCAGGAGCCAGAGCAGATCCAATGGAAAAGAGGGAGGCAGGTTTTACATCAGCAAGAGAAAGAGATTTCTGACAAGGAGGGACAGTGAGAAGACTGTGGGCTCAGGAGCTAGAGAAACTCAGGCTTGATTCCTGAATTTGCTCTTTGGAGATGATCTTGGGAAAATGATTTTTCTGTCTGTGCCACAGCCTCGTCTCATATGATGGAGGAAACATATCCTTAACACAGTGATCTCGAGATAGGAGAAAATATCTGTAAGTCTCCTAGCCTAATGCTAAAAAGGGGTAACTATAGGCAGGGAGGGGGCTAGTATGGAGAAGGATCCCAAGGTACCTGTCCTAAGACTCTGGAATTCTAGACAACCCGGGGCAGGTTCTAAGCACCCAGTGGAATGACCTGTCCCTGGAGAAGGGCTCCCAAAGGATCCTTCCCTGCAGAAGCCCAGAGGTTTTGCTCTGGAAGCAACCTGGGAGGCAGGCCTGGCCTCTGCCACTCTCATTCTTTCCTTCTGGAGGGACTGGACTTCACCCTGTTTTCTCCTGCTTTCTCTGACTCCCAGGCCAGCTATTTACCTCCCCAAGATGCTCTGCTCCGGAGAGAGCGGTGATAACGCTGGGAGTCAGGTGTGTGTTCACCTCCCAGCCTGTCCCCATCATCGATTCAGCCTCAAGTCAAACAGACTCCGGTTTTAGCCTATTTAATTTGGCCGAAGGAAGAGGGCCAGTCCTCTGATGATCAAATATGGGTCACGGAGAGGCTTCTCCCCTACCGCAGGCTACATAATTATTTATTTAAAAATAATTAACCAAGGAGATCCACAGGAAACAAAAGCCTCCTTTTAGGAAGGAGCCTGGCAGAAGGGTGTCGAGAGCCATTTGTTAGAACCCTAGCAATGTAGCCCAAGGCTGCCATGGTTTTTAAACCTCGTTTTCTCCCCCAGCAGAACTTCATTCTAGGAGAAATGTCAAGGTGGGGCTGTTGTGTTAAAAGACTGGTGGGCCTCGACCTCTGGCTAAGGGGGAGCATCGGGAGGGAGTTAGGGGATCCCTGTTTGATCCCAGCTCTGCCTTCAGTGTATTGGGGGAACCCCAGCTTCCTTATCTCTGAGCCCACTGGGAGAGGGGGCTGCTATTGCCCCCCGAGTGTGGTGGGAGTGAGGCAGGGGGCTGCTCGCCCGTTCCAGATTCACCTGTGACCTTTCCGACCGGTGCTCCTCTCCCCAGGAGTCTGGGAATCACTCTGGGCCCAGAGAAGGTGGCTCCGAGATCAGGCAGCCGCCTGAAAGGGGGTGTGGAGGGGGAAGGTGTATCACAAGGTATCTGCTGGCGATGCACCAGGAATAGTGTTCTCGTTGGAGGAAGGAGAGGCCAGGTCCTTGGGTATTTCACAAACCCAGAAGAGCGCTTCAAAGGAGGAGGAGCGTTGCAACCCCGCAACCTGGGTTGAATTCCTGGTTCTACCACACATGCGCTGTGTGACCTTGGGGAAGTAACTGAACCTCCCTGAGCTTCAGTTTCTTTGCTGTTTAACAGTCTCTGCCTCTTAGGTCATTGGGAAAACGAATGACCTTAAGAGATGTGAAAGTCCCCAGAACCTGCCTGGCACATAACAGTTGCTCAAGATACCTCAGCTCCTTCTACCTTGGGACCATCTTTGTCTAAAAGACGTTTTCAGGAAGGCTGAGATCACAAAACTTGACTGAGACCCTGTTACAGGCCAGGTACTGAACTAGGGCAGTGGAATGGCCTCTCTCCTTCTTCCTTTACTCCCATGAACTCTGAACGGGAATATACCACCAGGGCTCTGGTTTAATACTGACTGACTAGGGGCGCCTGTGTGGCTCAGTGGGTTAAGCCACTGCCTTCGGCTCAGGTCATGATCTCAGGGTCCTGGGATCGAGCCCCACATCGGGCTCTCTGCTCAGCAGGGAGCCTGCTTCCTCCTCTCTTCTCTGCCTGCCTCTCTGCCTACTTGTGATCTCTCTCTCTGTCACATAAAAAAATAAAATTTAATTAAAAAAAAAATACTGACTGACTGAAGATGCTGCGTCAATAGCCCCAGAGGTCCCCAGAGGTCCCCAGAGCAGACAGACAATGCCAGAAGGAGGTCCTCTACCTTGCACTCACTTCCCGGCTCAAGGCACTCACTGGCCACGTCCCCACTGCTGGTCCTAGGAACCACAGCACATTGTATCCAGCAGCCAAAGTCCTCCCAGCTAGAATCCAGAGCCATCCCTGATGTCCTGGGGAGGAGCTGACCTACTTCACCTGTTCTAGGCCTCAGGATCATGGGTGTGGGGCTCTTTCTAAATTCCTGACGGCATATGGGACAGAGACAACGCATCCAGTTTCTATGCAATAACTGGTCAGAAGTATCAAGGCATGAATGGAACTCATGGTTCCAGAAGCCAGCATCTTCACGCTCGGGTTCCTGTGCCAGCACCCTCCTCCAGGGCACTCTTCACTTTGCTGCAGCCTGGGATTTCTTTCCAAAACAAACTCGTACCATATCATTGCCCTGTTTGGAAATCCAGCATGGCCCCTCACTGCCTTCTGGAAAAGCCACAACAGCAAAGACTGGCAGAATCAGGCCTTTGGGACTCCAAGCCCCTTGGCTGTAGCCTCTCACACAACGCCCCCATACAGCCGTATCAGAGTACCTGCCTCCATGCCTTTGCTTCTGCTGTTCCCTCTGCTGGGAAAGCTCTTCCCTTCTTCTCCATGTCACATCCTTTTTTTTAAGAGGGCTTAATGTCACCACCTCTGTGAAGCTCTCCTTGATTCTTCCTGGTAGTTACCTGCTTTGCCCTTTGCATTTTACACGCAGTTGAGACCCTTACAGCAGGAGTCCGTCCCCTGGCACCATAATGTTCCTTTGACAGGGTACTTCTCTCTCCCTTTTAAAGGAAGGGATGGCCATTTACTCACTGTGGCATCCTCAGAGCCTCACAGAGGGCCTGGGACTGTGACTATTTACTGAAAGAAGGAATGAGCCCTCAGCTGCTTTGAGCAGGCATGCCCCAGGACAAGAGAGCATCCCTTCTGGAGGAAGGAGAAAATGCAGT